ATCTATTTCTCATCTGGTACCCGACTTAGTACAGGATTTATGTCCGCATCCAAAGCCTTTAACATAACGTTCTCCCAGGACAAAAGACGAATGGGCTTGTTCCCTGTTTTATTTTTGTCAGTTTTATTTTTCAGTCGCGTTTCCATATTGTTCACTTTTTTCATAAAAGCTTTAATATCCATCTCCTTGCCAAATAAAGTAACGTATTCCTTAACGATATCAGTTAATGCAGCAGTTTTCTTCTTTTTCATCGCTGGAACTTGAGATTTCTCGAGAATCTCCGGAAATGCTTGGACTTTTTCAGCGATAAACATATTAGGGGCATCTTCGGTAACTTCCTGTTCACTATCGGTGTCAGACATTTTATATATTTTATTCACTTTAAAATAGCTGCACAAATAAGTTAGATGGATCTTCTTTACATCAATTGACAGTTTCGATTGAATCCCCCCCCCCCCAAAAACGTTTTCTCATTCTTTGTTGTCGAATAAAAAGTTTTCCCAGAAAAGCTGATGTACCTACTTTATGCGTCCATGTTTTGAATACCCCCTTGAACAACAACGTGCAGCAATAAAACCAGACCTTATCCTTATCCCGCAAACCAGCGGTATTCTCGTCTAATATGATTAGACTAACTGTTCTACTTATATTAAAACACACCAATCCAACTCGCCTGGTATAACTGACACTCTTGCACGCAGTCTCGACATTTTTTTTGTACTTGTGCAAACGATTAGGAAGATTATACTATTTTGTAACGTTTGTGATATTATACCTTATACTTACATCATATGTTGTGTATTTGATTATTATATATTACAAAATAGAAAAGGTCGGGCTCTTGTTGATTAACTCTGACATAACGGATATCAAAATGATGTTTACACTTCCTAAATCCCATTTTATCTATAATTGATTTGTGAGATCGTTCTGATGATTATTATGGTACCTACTATGAACGTTTTTCTCCAACGTTTTTCCTCCTAAGGTAATTGGTTTTTTTTAATTATTTTCTTCTTTGTATTTAGAATGCTAGATACAAGTAATAATAATAATAATAACGTGTAATACGAGCCTCTTCCCACTTCAGTTGGCCCAACTATTGAAATCTTAGTTTTTTTCTTATCAAACACAAATAATAAACATGTAGAATTGTGTTATAGGTTTAAAATATTAACAATGAATATTTTGATAATATATAGTAGAAAACACCAACTTTATCACTCCCTAATCAAATTTGCAGCATAAAAATAACACATGTTGCAATGACAGCATATCAACCTATTTTCATTTCAATGCAAATTAAGTCTATAACGCATAGGTGGCTGTGAACAATAAAAGCCATGAGAATTGTTTTTATTAATCACAGCAGTCAGAATACGTTTAAAATAGTTTTGGGTAGTTAAGGTTTTCAAAATGGGTAGAGGAAAGGTTATTATTGAGAAAATTCGGTTACTGATAATTAATTTTTTTAATTCTGGGAAATCAAACTCAGAAATTGCAACTTTGTTAGACTTATCTCGGTACAATGTGAGAAATATTGTTAGAAGATATAACGTAACTGGTTCAGTTAATATTAAGCCACGATATGTGAATGCAAGATGGTGCAGCGTGCCATACCTCAAAAAAGGCTATAAAATGGATGGAAGAAAATAATGTACCACTTTTGAAATGGGTTTCTAGCAGTCCAGATCTGTCACCTATTGAAACATTGTGGCACGAGATGAAAAAGGTTCTACGACAATATCCTGCTCGTACAATCACCGAACTGAGACAAAAGCTTCAAGAAATATGGGATTGTTTTACACCAAATTTTTGCCAAAACTTGGTTAACACTATGCCCCAAAGAATTTCAGCCGCAATAAAAAGTAAAGGTGATGTTACCCAATGGTAATCTTTCAATTCTTGCTTTGTTAACTTCGCGCATTTATTCGCACATTGTTTATTTGTTTAGATGTACTATTAGTTATAGGTCTAAGTGATTTCAAATATGTATTTTTTACGACTAGAGTGTATCTAAAACGTTTTTTAGAAAATAAATTGTTTTAGAAGTAAATAGTTTCGTCATGTTTAGTTTATAAAGGCATATTTTGGTACAAATCTTGAAGTGGGCCAACTGAAGTGGGATGGGGCTCGTACTCAGCAATAGACACCGAAAAAAGGCTCTTTACCTACATCATTAGAAATTTCTGGAAATGAAAGTTTAATCTTTTTACGTTCTACGCCACAGGGTGAGGAAGTATTGCAATCCCGGAAAATTTGGAAAATGAGATATGTTTTTTGGATATTATATGACAAGCTGTGACTGAAATTTGTACACAATGTTAGTACTATGCCAAGGACGAAAAAGCTTTGTAGTTTTTGAAGATCGGTCCAGTGACAGCGGAGAAAAAGGGCAAAAGCAAAAAAAGTAAAAATCGCTCAAACTTAATAAAAACCCAGAAAAATTAGTTTAAATACAGGCGTCATCTATTACTTTTTTCTATTTGAAAAATCGACACGCTTTTTACGAGGTGAAATCGAATTTTTTTATTGATAAATGAAGGTTGGTTTATGCCATTTATGTATGAAAAATAACATCAGTCGTGTGACCACCGCGGCTTCGTTTACAGGCCAACTTCCGAACATCAAAATTTTCAATGACTTTTCCCAGAATAATCGGATCTATGGCCGCAATTTCAGTCCGAATATTGCGCTTCAGGTCTTAAATTGTCCGGGGACCAGTCGCATACACTTTTCTTCTGAACAATCCCCGAAGAAAATAGTCAAGAGGTGTTAAATCGCACGATTTCGGGGGCCAACTGACATCTGAATTTCGTGAAATTCTGCGGTCTTAAAATTTCGTGTGCAATAAGGCGCTTGTTTGGCGAGATGTGTGAGGTGTTGCTCCGTCTTGATGAGACCAAAGTTCGTCGGCACCAATACGATCCAACTGTGGCCACAAAAAGTTTGTTAACATGCCGCGATAACGTTCTCCGTTGACGGTGATGGCCTTTTCTTCTGCATCTTCAAAGAAGAATGGTCCAACGATGCCACCAGCCCATAGTCCGCACCAAACAGTCACTCTTTCAGGATGGAGATGTTGTTCATGATATTGGTGTGGATTTTCAGCCCCCCGGAATCTGCATTTTTGCTTATTTACGTATTCATTGAGGTGAAAATGAGCCTCATCAGAAAAGAGCACTTTGGCTCTCTTTCCAACATCCAATTAACAAAAACACGACGCTGTTGATGGTCTGCCGGATTCAATTATTGTGTTAGTTGGATTTTGTATGGTTAGAGGTGTGAATCAATGTGTAAAATCCGGCGTTAAGTGGTCTCACTAATTCCCAATTGTTGCGAACGGTGTCTAGTCGAGGTGGTTGGATCTCCTCGCACACTTTCACTCACTGCGGCTCTGTTTTCACTAGTACGAGCTGGACGAGCATGTTGGTATGGTCTACGACCTTCAGCTGAACCATTTTCCTCAAAACGATTAACAATCCAACGAATCCAGGTTCTGTAGGGCGTCCATGTCGACCAAAACTAGTGCTAAGTTAGCGAAAAGTATTTATTATATTTTGACCGTTTTCGTAAGTTTGGATAACCAAAATGCGTTGTTGTGTTGTAAACGAATCCATGACTATAAATGGCATACCTTTGACAGTTCATTTATACATACCACATGACTTTCGACTCACATAAACTTATAGGTAGAAAAAATTAATAGATGGCGCACCCAGTAGATACAAATTTAAGGGATTTCCGTATAAAATGTTCTTTGGCCTAAATTTTAGATTAGGAAGATATCGAGATGCGCTTTTCGCGAGCTTGTTCAGACATCATTTAGTTAACGTTTTATAAAAAAATCATACCAATGCATTTATTTTTTTGTGAAAATTAACGATTTCACATGTGAAACTAACAAAACTTCAAAACAAATTTGTAACACAGGAATAGCTCTTCTCAACTAGCCCAAGTTTGTAAAATTAGCTAAGCCGGTTCGAAGATACAGGGTGTTGTTTTACGGAAACCTTTATTTTTAGAGAGACAGCAAACATTGTCAAACAGAAAAGTTCACATTATCCTCGATTTTAAAGATCAGGTATACTAAGTGACATATAAATCGGTCACTCTGGGATCAGGAATGGAACAGTATTGTCTTTAGTGATGAGTCTCGATTTTGTTTAGGCATGCACGATGGTCGTGCCAGGGTTAGAAGGCGACGTGGTGAAAGCAGGAATACACAGTATTTTGTTGAAAGACATGTTCATCACACTGTTGGAGTTATGGTTTGGGGTGCTATAGCTTATGGTTCCAGGTCACCTTTAATCTTCATCGGAGGTAACATGAACGCGCAGCGTTATATCCACGAAGTTCTAGAACCCTATCTTGACGCCCTGGCAGATCCAACTTTCCAACAAGATAATGCCCGACCACATGTTGCAAGAGTCACAATAGACTTCTTTCAACATAATGATGTCACATTGTTACCATGGCCACATCTCCCGACTTATCCCCAATTGAGCACGTGTGGGATATGATGGGTAGGAGATTGCTCAATTTGCAACGTCCTCCTCAGACTCTAGAAGCACCTCGAGAGGAGTTGGTGGTTGCCTCGAATGAGATACCACAGGAGGACATTGACCACCTGATCAGAAGCATGCCTAGGCGCGTTGGAGAATGCGTAGCACATCAGGGTGCATCCACACATTATTAAAGGTCAAAGGGCTTTAAAGCAGTGCAATCATTTTGAAATTTTTATCATTTAGTTATTATGCTTCATTAAGTACTTATACAAAATTTTATTAAAATAAAACCATTTAAACTGGGTGTTCGGATTTATATGTCACTTAGTATATGTCTTTGTTAGGTTAATATAGAAACATACTTTTTTAGATTCAAGATTGCAGTTCTGCCCCCACCAGGTTTTTCTCTTGGTCATTTAGCACTCTTAATTCATTCAAGTAAGTGGTGCAATCACAGAAGGAGGTAGTTTGAGGTGAAAAAATAAGACCTAATGAACATTATTTCGTTTATTATAAAAAAGAATCATGCATATATATGTACATAATTATAGCATGTTTTAAAATGTATATTTCACAAACAAGGGAACCAAAGGCTGTCGCGAGCGCACAATGCAACCCTTGATCCACTTATCAGCAAACCTTATTCTAAATATTAAAATAGATATGCTTGCTCCATTCTCGGTGTGCTGAGTGACTAAAACAAGTGATTAAATAAAATAAAAACGTACGAAGGAAATTTTCATAAATCAGTGCTAGAAGTGCATTTCAACTGCGTGTAAAGTGGACGGCAACTTTAGAAACAGCTTCAAGAAGATAGAGTAAAATAATTATAAATTGAACTGCTAAGTTACTGTTCTGTTTTTTTGTTTCTTGCATGAAGATATATCCATTCTTTATCAAAAATGTCACTAGTTCCGCTTTTTTATCACTGACAAGTTACATCATACTTTAGTAAATAGTTATAGTATTGGATCAAACATTATACATTGCTCATATAAAACTATACACATAGTAATCATTCTGACTTTCGTGGTTCTTATGTTGCTACTAGTGAGGCATGAAGATCGAGTCTGTCTTTAGCTGATAAGTAGTCAGTCAGTTTAGTCATTTATACTTCTTGTGATGCTTGATTTTAATGTTATAATAGACATACTGTACATCAATATATCTTTTAAAACTTATGTTTAATCCATCTTTCCAATAAATGTAGCACAATTTTTTATGTACATATACATTAGGAACAGGTTGTTGTGTCAGTCGAAACGTCAGTAAAGCCATCATCTGTTCTTTTATTAGGCTAGGTAGAGAGAGGAATCTGTATATATGCATTATTGAATGTACTTAGGTCCGTAGTTGCTTAAAATGATTGAGTATAAACGAACTTGTCAACAAATAAGCAGTTATTAGACAGCTTATTATAAGACAATTTTTTTACAGGAACTATTATTTTTTCACATTGGATAATAAATAGAACACACAATTTGTTAACAATTCCTACCGTACGTTCATAATACTGATACTTGCAAGATATTTTACTGAATCACACATGGCCTCCTTCTTCTTAGCCTATGCCTAGGCTTGTATTTTGATAGAAAATCTAGTTGTTTGGCGTTTATCGCGCCTCTTCTCTTTCGCCTTATCATTGCAACTGCATCTTCGTAGGCAATACCTAGTTCAATCAGTGCTGCAGATATCAACACAGGCGCCCTACCTAACCCTGTGAAAAGGGAGAATAATTAAGGATCACTTGCATTGCCTTCTATTAAATTAAATATACGCGGGACAATAGAAAAGAAATCTACCTAGCCATGAAAAAAAAAACAATTGAAGCGCACAAGCATAATGTCAAACCGTGGCATGTGTTCTAACCTTACTTGCAAAATGAGTTAGTGTCATAAAATTTCTGTCAAAAGTGGGCCATCTGCCGAAAAAGATCCTTGAGTTTGGAAGACTGTTATAATTTTGGATGTTTTGAACATATTGGAAACTGAAAACAAGAAAATTTCAAGAATTATGTGAATTTTGAAAATACATATAGACAATTTGTGAAATTCTGAAAATTTTGAGAATCTTGGAAATTTTGAAAATTTCAATAATATTGGTTGTTTTGAAAATAATGGAGATTTGGGGAATCCTAAAAATACTAAAAAACCATGGAAATGTGGAAAATTCTGGAGATTTTTAAAATTTCAAAAATTGTAAATTTTCAAAATTCTTGAAATTTCATTAATTTTGAAAATATTGAAAATTTCAATAAAATGGATAGTTTCCAAATATTGGGAATTAGGAGAATCCTAAGAATACTAAAAACCATGAAAATGTTGAAAATTCAAGAGATTTTTAAAATATCGAAAATTGGATATTTTTAAATTTCTGAAAATGTTGCAAAGTTGGATTTTTAAAATAGTTTGAAATTTTGAACATCTTGTAAATTTTGAAAATTCTGGAAATTTAGAAAATTTTGGAAATTTTGAACATTTTTAAAATTTTTAAAATATTGAAAACTGAAAAGCTTGGAAGATACGAAAATTGTGGGAATTTTGAAAATATTCAAAATTTGGGAACTTCTGAAACTTTTGAAAATTTCGAAAATTTTGAAAAATTTGAATATCCATCATGAGGAGCCTTGACTCTCTATCGCTAATGTGAAGGAATACCTAGTTCAATCAGTGCTGCAGATATCAACACAGGAGCCCTACCTAACCCTGTGAAAAGGGAGATTTAAAGATCACTTGTATTGCCTTCTACTAAATTAAATATACGCGGGACAATAGAAAAGAAATCTACCTAGCCATGTAAAAACAATTGAAGTGCACAAGTATAATGCCAAACATGTGTTCTAACCTTACTTGCAAAATGAGTTAGTGTGATAAAATTTCTTTCAAAAGTGGGCCATCAGCCGAAAAAGATTCTTGAGTTTGGAAAATTTTTATAATTTTGGATGTTTTGAACATATTGGAAACTGAAAAACATGAAAATTTCGAAAATTATGTGAATTTTGAAAATATAGACAATTTGTGAAATTCTGAAAATTTTGACAATCTTGGAAATTTTGAAAATTTTTAAATTTTTTAAAAATATGGTATTTAAAAAATAATTAATATCTGGGAAATTCTGAAAATTTTGGCAATTTTAAAATCTATGGAAATGTTGAAAATTTTAAAATTCTGGAGATTTTTAAGATTTCAAAAATTGTAAATTTTCAAAATTCTGAAAATTTCGTAAATTTTGAAAATATTGAAAATCTTGAAAATTTTGAAAATTTCAAAAATATTGGTAGTTTTGAAAATAATGGAAATTTGGGGAATCCTAAGAATACTAAAAAACCATGAAAATGTTGAAAATTCAAAAGATTTTTAAAATATCGAAAATTGGATATTTTTAAATTTCTGAAAATGTTGCAAAGTTGGATTTTTAAAATAATGTACATTTATGAAATTTTGGACAATTTTGGAAATTTTGAAAATTCTGGAAATTTTGAAAATTTTGGAGATTTTGAACATTTTTAAAATTTTGAAAATATTGAAAACTGAAAAGCTTGGAAGATACGAAAATTGTGGGAATTTTGGAAATATTCAAGATTTGGGAACTTCTGAAACTTTTGAAAATTTTGAAAAATTTGAATATCCATCATGAGGAGCCTTGACTCTATGGCTAATGTGAAGGAATACCTAGTTCAATCAGTGCTGCAGATATCAATACAGGAGCCCTACCTAACCCTGTGAAAAGGGAGATTTGAAGATCACTTGTATTGCCTTCTACTAAATTAAATATACGCGGGACAATAGAAAAGAAATCTACCTAGCCATGTAAAAACAATTGAAGTGCACAAGTATAATGCCAAACACTGGCATGTGTTCTAACCTTACTTGCAAAATGAGTTAGTGTCATAAAATTTCCGTTAAAAGTGGGCCATCAGCCGAAAAAGATTCTTGAGTTCGGAAAATTTTTATAATTTTGGATGTTTTGAACATATTGGAAACTGAAAAACATGAAAATTTCGGAAATTATGTGAATTTTGAAAATATAGACAATTTGTGAAATTCTGAAAATTTTGAGAATCTTGGAAATTTTGAAAATTTTGGCAATTTTAAAATCTATGGAAACGTTGAAAATTTGAAAATTCTGGAGATTTTTAAGATTTCAAAAATTGTAAATTTTCAAAATTCTGAAAATTTCGTAAATTTTGAAAATATTGAAAATCTTGAAAATTTTGAAAATATCAATAATATTGGTAGTTTTGAAAATAATGGAAATTTGGGGATTCCTAAAAATACTAAAAAACCATGGAAATGTGGAAAATTCTGGAGATTTTTAAAATTTCAAAAACTGTAAATTTTCAAAATTCTGAAAATTTCGTAAATTTTGAAAATATTGAAAATCTTGAAAATTTTGAAAATATCAATAATATTGGTAGTTTTGAAAATAATGGGAATTTGGGGAATCCTAAAAATACTAAATAACCATGGAAATGCGGAAAGAGAGATTTTTAAAATATCGAAAATTGGATATTTTTAAATTTCTGAAAATGTTGCAAAGTTGGATTTTTAAAATAGTTTGAAATTTTGAACATCTTGTAAATTTTGAAAATTCTGGAAATTTTGAAAATTTTGGAAATTTTGAAGATTTTTAAAATTTTGAAAATATTGAAAACTGAAAAGCTTGGAAGATACGAAAATTGTGGGAATTTTGAAAGTATTCAAAATTTGGGAACTTCTGAAACTTTTGGAAATTTCGAAAATTTTGAAAAATTTGAATATCCATCCTGAGGAGCCTTCACTCTCTATGGCTAATGTGACGGAATACCTAGTTCAATCAGTGCTGCAGATATCAACACAGGAGCCCTACCTAACCCTGTGAAAAGGGAGAATTAAAGATCACTTGCATTGCCTTCTACTAAATTGAATATACGCGGGACAATAGAAAATAAATCTACCTAGCCATGAAAAAACAATTGAAGCGCACAAGTATAATGCCAAACACTGGCATGTGTTGTAACCTTACTTGCACAATGAGTTAAATACTGTTATGAAATTTCTAACAAAAGTGGGCCATCAGCCGAAAAAGATTCCTGAGTTTGGAATTTTGAACAAATGCATAATTTTGGAGGTTTTGAACATATTGAAAACTGAAACATTTAAAAATTTCGAAAATTATCGGAATTTTTAAAATATATAGAAAATTTGGGTATTCTGAAAAGTTTGAATACTTTGAAAAGCTGAAAATCTATGAAATTTTGAAAATAATGACTATTTGGGACATTCTGAAAATTTTGCGAATTTTGAAACTTAAGAATATTGAAATTTCTGGAGATTTTTAAAATTTCAAAAATTGGAAATTTTGAAAATATGGAAAATCTTGGAAATTTGGAATATCTTGATAATTTCAGTAGTTTTGAAAATATTGAAAACTGAAAATCTTGAAAATTACGGAAATTTTGAAAATAATGCAAATATGGGAAATTCTGTGAATTCTAAGAATTTTGCAAATTGAAAAGTTTGAATACTTTGAAAAGCTGAAAATCTATGAAATTTTGAAAATAATGACTATTTGGGACATTCTGAAAATTTTGCGAATTTTGAAACTTAAGAATATTGAAATTTCTGGAGATTTTTAAAATTTCAAAAATTGGAAATTTTGAAAATATGGAAAATCTTGGAAATTTGGAATATCTTAATAATTTCAGTAGTTTTGAAAATATTGAAAACTGAAAATCTTGAAAATTACGGAAATTTTGAAAATAATGCAAATATGGGAAATTCTGTGAATTCTAAGAATTTTGCAAATTTTGAAAACCATGAAAATGTTGAAAATTCTGGAGGTTTCTAAAATATCGAAAATCGGATATTTTTAAAATTCTGAAAATTTTGAAAATTTGGAGATTTTAAAATTTTTTGAAAATAATGAATATTTGAGAAAATTTTGCGAATTTTATAAACTATAAAAATGTTGGAAATTTTTGAATTCTGGAAATTTTTAAAATTTGAAAAATTGGGAATTTTTAAAATTCTGAAAATTTTCAATATAATATATATATATATATATATATATATATATATATATATATATATATATTGAAAATCTTGAAAATTCTGAAAATTTTAATAATTTTGGTAGTTTTGAAAATATTGAAAACTGAAATTCTTGAAGATTTCGAAAATTACGGGAATTTTGAAAATAATGAAAATTTGGGAAGTTCTGAAAATTTTGCAAATTTTAAAAATCATGAAAATGTATAAAATTCTGGAGATTTTCAACATTTCGAAAATTAGATATTTTTGAATTCTGATAATTTTGAGTAGTTGAAGATTTTCAAAATATTGAAAATTTTGGAAATTTTGAAAGCTCAATTTTGCAAATTCTGAAAATTCTGAAAATCTTAGAAATTTGAATATTTTGTAGGTTTTAGAAATTCTGAAAATTCTGAATCTTGAAATTTTTAAAATCTTGAAAATTATGAAGATTCTGAAAGCTTGGAAAACCTTGAAAACTTTGTAAATCCTGATAATTTTGAAAAAATTTTAAAATATTGAAAACTGAAAAACTGTATTTTAAAAATATTGAAAATTTCTGAAAATTCTGAAATTTTTGAAAATCTTGAAAATTGAGAAAATTTTAATAATTTTGGTAGTTTTGAAAATATGGACAACTGAAAATATTTTGAAAATATCGAAAATTTGAGATATTCTGAAAATTTTGCAAATTTCTAAAATCATGAAAATGCTGAACATTCTGGAGATTCTGGAGATTTTCAGCATTTTGAAAATTGGATATTTTTAAATTCTGAAAATTCTGGAAATTTTAAAAATTTTGAAAATTTTGAATGTTCTAAAAATTCCGAAAAGTTTCAAAAACCTTGAAAATTTTGAAAATTCTAATCATTTTGGAAGTTTAGAAAATATTGAAAACTAGAAAACTTGGAAGTTTCGAAAATTATGGGAATTTTGAAAATATAGAAAATTTGGGAAATTCTGAAAATTTTGAAAGCTTTGAATATCTTTAAAATTTTGAATCCTAATAATTTTGGAATTTTGGAAGTGTTGAAAACATTGAAAGCTGAAAAACTAGGAAGTTTCAAAAATTATGGGGATTTTGAAAATATATAAGATTTGGGAAGTGCTGAAACTTTTGAAAATTTCGAACATTTCGGACAGTTCGAGTATCCATCCTGGTGAGCCTTGACTTTCTATGGTTAATGTGAAGGACACTTCGCTGGACTGGTGTACCTCAATGCTGTGATCTTGGTTGATTTTGTTTCCTTGCATATGAGTAAGTAATAACCTAATAACATACCTGAAACACAGTGTACCGCTACGCAGCTGTCTGGATTGCTTGCATTCTGCTTCCTAACAATCTCGAAAAACACTTCCAATACTCTTTCTGGAGGGAAAGCTCCATCAGGGATGCTCAGATCAAATACCTGAAGTACATAAAAATGTTTTCAATTCTCGTATAATTATGATATGAATAATGTTTTCTATAATTTTCTAATAAATTTGCCCCGAGGGTGCCTAAAAACATTTTTTCTGTTTCGGTTGCAGCTTTTGAGGATTTTCTCCCTAAACAGCTGGTCGAAACCAAAAGTTCGGTCGGACTCTAGTCTAAAATATGAACCGGTAACTATGAACATTAGTTTAATGTTTCGAGACCATTACAACATGTTTACCTTTATTCCTGCTTTCTTCAACGGCTGGACATCATAAGTCGGATCGCAGACTCTGATCACCACTTTCGTGGCATACCTCTTCAGTTCATTGATGTACGGCTCCATGGTATGATCAGTGGGACATCTGGTGATAAGGAATCGGAAGCCTCTGTAGGAGATTTCTGAGAAATCCTCCCCCATTTCCAGATCGTGTTGCTTGGAAACAATAAAAAAAAGTGTTCACGGTTACTTGTGGCAAAGCAATAAAATGTCGCATCTGAGTGCTCAACACCAAAAACGTTCATTTTTCTTACTTCCTGCGAGAGTAGATGCGGTTATTTTTTGAGTGAAGTGGAAAAATAAAGTACCTACAATATTAAGGGCAATATTATTTGATAAACGTGAATCCTACGCCTTTTGGATATTTTTACTAACACAATTTGAATCGAGCGAAATGAGAATGAAAAACTTTCGTAAAGCAGGTGATTCTGCACTTTTTAGGCAACGCCATCATCAGTTAGCCAAGGATTAAGTTCAACACAAATTGAAATTATACTAAGTGACATATAAATCCGAACACCCAGTTTAAATGGTTTTATTTTAATAAAAGTTGGTGAATGTATTTATCTTACTGTAAATAACAAGTGATAAAATTTTCAGCCTTATCAGTTGGACATTCCGGTTTTTATGCTGCTTTTTTTTAATTCACTAACCCTCTAAAAATGAATATCTCAGTCGCAGTATAGAATCATCGTTAGCGGATTTTGGTTCTTGACATCCTTTACGATCGGTTACGATGCCTAGAGTACGGAGACCTGTACGATTTCGTCAACTTAGTGAGTTTGATAGGGGCCGTATAGTGGGACTTCGGGAAGCTGGACTTTCTTTTCGGACAATTGCAGTTAGAGTGCAAAGAAGTGGTTAGGCGTTGTCAGGCATGGCTTCGAGAAGGCCGTACGCAAAGAGCAAGGGGCACTGGACGCCGCCGTAGAACAACAGACCGTGAAGATCGCCGCCTAAGATTATTGGCCTTAAGGGACCGTTTCTCCACTACCAGGTCCATTGCAAATGAATGGTTTGCAGAACACGGAAGACCTATTGACATGCGAAGTGTTTACCGACGAATGAGAAGTTTTGGCTTGTTTTCATACCGGCCACACTGGGTCCTCCCTTTAACTCGAGAACACCGACGTAATCGCCTTGATGATGCAGACAACGGTCACCCTGGGATCAGGAATGGAACAGTATTGTCTTTAGTGACGAGTCTCGATTTTGTTTAGGCATGCACGATGGGCGTGCCAGGGTTAGAAGGCGACGTGGTGAAAGGAGGGAGCCACAGTTTTTTGTTGAAAGACATGGCCATCACACTGTTGGAGTTATGGTTTGGGGTGCTATAGCTTATGGTTCCAGGTCACCTTTAATCCTCATCAGAGGTAACATGAACGCGCAGCGTTATATCCACGAAGTTCTAGAACCCCATCTTTTACCCTATCTTGACACCCTGGCAGATCCAACTTTCCAACAAGATAATGCCCGACCACATGTTGCAAGAGTCACAATAGACTTCTTTCAACAGAATGATGTCACATTGTTACCATGGCCACCAAGATCTCCCGACTTATCCCCAATTGAGTACGTGTGGGATATGATGGGTAGGAGGTTGCTCAATATGCAACGTCCTCCTCAGACTCTAGAAGCACTTCGAGAGGAGTTGGTGGTTGCCTGGAATGAGATACCACAGGAGGACATTGACCACCTGATCAGAAGCATGCCTAGGCCCGTTGGAGAATGCGTAGCACATCAGGGTGCATCCACACATTATTAAAGGTCAAAGGGCTTTAAAGTAGTGCAATCATTTTGAAATTTTTATCATTTACTTATTATGCTTCATTAAGTACTTATACAAAATTTTATTTAAATAAAACCATTTAAACTGGGTGTTCGGATTTATATGTCACTTAGTATAGATGCAATAGACCAATTAAACCGATCAAGTCAGTCAAATAGGTCCACATAGAAACTCGCCCTGGCCCCAAAACTTGGCATTACGGTCAAGCCGACTGGAAGGGGCTCAGAGACTTCTTCGCCACCTTTGCTTGGAGATATGTTGCTTGTAATACACTATTGTTAATGCAGATTCTAAAATTCTGGTTGTCAGTAACCGCACGCGGTCTTGATCCAAAAATAAGCATTTCAGTTTTATTTTCATTTGAACAGTGTCAAAACAATTGTAAGTAAAGTTGTATGTGCCTAGAACCAGGGCAGCCCGTGCAGAGTTATACATAATAATTTTTATTGTCAAAACTATAACAGATAACTAGAAATGACATATTTTAGAACAATAAGCATGGTAGAAAACCCGCAGAAGGCTAGCCTTGTACGCGGGTATGCATTAGCTTATGAATAATTACGTACTACTTAAACTTAACTAAAATAAAAAGACACACGTGATTTTCGAATGAAAGAACAATAACAACATTAAATAGGATTTTAAAATACAATATCTGAAAAAGTGGGAGTATAATAATAATAATAATAATAATAATATTTATTCACTCAATGTACAAAGATAACAAACAATATGAGTAAATAAATATAAAATCAAAACACGCCCAATAGAAGGCATCGCCTGTACATGGACCAATAATTTAAGTTGAAACTGTAGAATGCAAATGACAAAAATTAGCTACAGTAGATTATGTATTTAGTTGATGTTCGTATTTATGAGTTTATGAATTTCAGTCCTAGATATAGAATGTAGCCACTTTTTTAAATTTCTTTTGAAACAATTTCCGAAACGTAAATCTTAAAAGTCTAGGTATAATTTCATAAAATTTAGGCGCTAAATAGAGATATGATCGCTGCATTATAGATTTATGCGGTTGAGGAACTACTGTGCCACGAATTTTGTACCTGGTATAATGATTATGTTTAATTTTTTGGTCGGTGTTTACAAATTTATGGTAGTGAGTGATACTGTGTAAGAAATAAAGCTGTCTTATATCATACATTCGATAATTCGTATAATTTTTCAGTGGGATAAAGTTTCGGTTTTTTAAATATCATTTTTAGAATACTTTTTTGAAAAATATCTAAATTATAGATATGTGAGGAACATGCAGCTCCCCATGCTAATATACCATATGTGAGATGAGGCTCAATCAGTGCATGGTATAATGTTCGAAGATATTTTTCTGTCAATATATTCCCAAGGTATTTAATTTTGTAGGATACAAATCTAACTTTCTTTAAAATATAATTGACATGGATGTCCCATCGTAAGTGAGGATCCAAGACCACTCCAAGGTATTTTATGTTGGGCACTCTATTAATTTGCATTTTTTGATCATTAATATTGAAGGAGAAATTTGTGTAATTTGGCAGATGTCTAGCATAAGATCCAAATGGTAAAAAATGTGTTTTAGAGTAGTTAATGCTTAATTTGCTACTGTTAAACCACCGAATAATTTTGATAAAATCATTTTCAATTACATTTTTCAGATCAGACCAGTCAGTGCCTTCATATAATATTGCAGTATCATCTGCAAAACTAGTTATTTTGCCAACACAATTAATTTGGAAAATATCATTTAAATATATATGGAATAACAGCGGACCTAAGACAGTTCCTTGTGGGACACCACACTTAATATACATTTCTTTACTGAATGATCCTGATATCTGCACAGATTGTGGGCGATTTGACAAATAACTTTCGATCAGTGAGTACGCGTTTCCTCTGAAACCAATTCTCTCCAATGCTTCTAATAATAATTTGTGATTAACTGTGTCGAAAGCTTTCTTTAAATCAACAAAAATGCAGATTGAAGGGATTCTGTTATCAATATTTTGATGTATTTGATTTACAATTTTAGTTATTGCGTCTGATGTAGCCTTCCCTTCTGTAAATCCATATTGATTTTCACTTAAAATTTTGAATTTTGTGAGGTATCGAATCATTCTAGTAAATAAAACTTTTTCAAGAACCTTTGCTACACTGGATATTATTGATATTGGTCTATAGTTGTTAACATCTGTTTTGTTCCTGATTTATGTATCGGTATTATATTACCTTTTTTTAAAATTGAGGGATATCTGCCAGATTCAAAGCATTTGTTGATTAGGTAAGTGAGTGGTTCTGTTATGTCCTCGGCTATAATTTTCAAATGCTCGCTTTTAATACCATCGAACCCAGGACTTTTCCGATTTTTTAAGGACATAACAGTGGTGTATACTTCACATTGCTCGACTTTATCCAAAATAAATGAGTTCAAAGTTCTTTTTGGAGGCTGAGTATTTTGTACATTTGCTTGTATATTACTTGCTAAATTTTCGCCTATGTCAGTAAAGAATTGTACAAATTCATCGCATATCTGTTGAGTATTTTTTAATACTGTTCCCGATGTTGTATATAACTCAGTGACACACTCTTTAAATTTTGTTTTCCCAGTAATCTCATCAATAGTTGTCCAAAGCCGCTTAGGATCATTTAAGTTATTATTCAATTTATTTAGGTAATGTTTTCGTTTGATTTGCCTTACAAGCTCTATAAATTTATTTTTATATTGGTTGTAGCAGTCGGTATTCTCTGTAGTTGGCGTTAGTTTCATTACATTATATAGTCTTTCTTTTTCTATTGCCGATATTATTAATCCTTTGATAATCCAGTATGGATGGCTTCATTTAATTATAGATCCTTTTTAAGGTAAAATGTCTCATTTAGGGCACAAAGTCCATCTTAGGTTATTAGTGTTTATGTTTTCTGTTCTCTGTTTGGGGGATATATCGAGTATGTTGTCAACATCGGAAAATAAAAAGAAAGTCCAGCTTCCCGAAGTCCCACTATACGGCCCCTATCAAACTCACTAAGTTGACGAAATCGTACAGGTCTCCGTACTCTAGGCATCGTAACCGATCGTAAAGGATGTCAAGAACCAAAATCCGCCAACGTTGATTCTTTATTGCGGCTGAAATATTCATTTTTAGAGCGTTAGTGAATTAAAAAAAAGCAGTATAAAAACCGGTATGTCCATCTGATAAGGCTGAAATTTTTTTCACTTGTTATTTACAGTGAGATAAATACATTCACCAACTTTTATTAAAATAAAACCATTTAAACTGAGTGTTCGGATTTATACTCGTATGTCACTTAGTATAGCATTTTTAATTGACAATACTGTAGTATGTTTTTAATTCTTCTTATTCGATATAGAACGGACTGTAACTTTTTCGCGACATACTTTGGAACATGTCAAAACTTGTACTTACTATTGAAGCGACCATTGACATTGGACATAAAATGACGAGTTACCCATAAGCAAGTCCTCCATTCAAAGAATTTGTACCGAAAAGCGAAAGTAGTTTTATCGACATGAATTGCCCAAAGAAGTTGCTAGAGAACTAATATAACTTTCAATAATATTCCTTGGCAATGCATTAACCTCGATGGATGGTCAGAGCAATCTATTCCCAGCTCAAACTTTCCAATATTGATAGAGCATCATGACAACATAGGTGAAACCGTGGTTGCAATGCAGTTTAGCGGTAAAAGCACCTAATCAGGATTTATGCTTTTTAAAGGCAACGAATTAACAAATCCATTTCAAAACCATGCAATATAATCTATATAAAATAAGGGTTTCAAATTGAATTGACTCCCTTTTTCCTTAAATTTATCCGGTTTCTGGGTTGCCAGACCAGACGATGATTTGACCGACATTATTACGATGCACTACTATCAACAATCAAGCATTAGAATACTATTAAATATGTTTATATGTTCCTTAATGATATGCGAATATTTAAGGGTGTGAATCTATATGAAAAATTAATGTTAGTTTGCTTCATAAACTATGGTCCAAAAATGTTTCCTTGCAAAAACTCGGGGTGTTGAAGTTTTAGGAAAAAAAAATGGAAATTAATTTATCGGATATCAAAATTCAGTGACATCTTCCAGAGCAACTAGATATTTATTGCTAAATTGCATTCTTCAATTATTACATTAATTTTCTCGGATAATAGAACTGCTTTTATTTTTTTACTCAAAAATGGCGCATCGAAGGAGAACAATTCAAGAGAGATCATTTGTTTTAAATTGAACGGGAAATTCAACAATAATTTTTGTTTGGTAAAAAACCATTGCCGTACCATTGTTTTCTTAAAAAGTATCGAAGTCAACACCCGCACGCACGCCACTGTTAAAGCTAAGAATTATTTTTGCATTGTAAAATATGTAACTTTATTAACTTTCACTACGTACTAAATATCAGTGAAATATCTGAAGCGGTTCTGAAAATATTAATTAATTTCCATTTTTTTCCTAAAACTTCAAACCCCCTTTATAAGGAAACATTTTTGGACCATAGTTTATAAAGCAAAGTTACATCAATTTTTCTTGAAGGTTCACACCCTTAAATATTTGCATATCAATAAGGAATATAACGATGCTGATTCATGTCGTTACAGTGAATATATAACAGTCCCAACCATTATCGACAAATTTGGCACGTGTAACAGCTTTCAAAAAAAAAAAATACGCTAGCATTAGTACTTACCACAAACAAGGCATTTTCGAGCGGCGAGAAATGAGTACCTAGCAAAGTTTCAATGAATACCTTACGCTTAGCCATAACAAACGACCCCGTATACACTTAGCATCATGATTAGATTGTCGACTGAATATGAATGTAAATAAACAATTTAGCTGGCAAAAATTGGCACGTGATAACTTTTGGCACCCGTACAAAACTCAAGTTGAGCGCAGAAAATACAGAAATAGTCCTATATCGTATTGCTACATATTGAAGAATAAAAGTATTTTTGATCTGGCGTTATCTTTACAAATTTACGTCACAGGCGTCTGACCTCGCGAATACTTTCCTGGCCTACCTGCCTATCGGAGAGCACGGGGTATCCGGGATAGAAGTCCAATGCTCCACTTCCTGGCACACATCTACGGCGTACACCTATATTCGGTCAACTGAGCGTCAGTTGTGAATTTATTTATTGAAAAACTTGACGGCTTGTTATTCATTTGAGAAAAATGCAAACACGAGTTTGAAAGTGAATCTCACCGAAGCGCGTTTATCAGTACCAGCCAGCAACAAGCGAGGTTGATTGCCTATTGTCCTAGACCGATGATAATAATGCTTACTACGGAACTGTCGCGACTCTTTTATAGGCTATTTCACAATGACTAACTAGTCTGCGTCGATCTGCCAATAAAAATGATTGTGATAATCGAGTATTTTTTTTATTGGGATTGCCGATCGCATCATGCAAGAAATTTTGCTTGCTTACGCATGATGCACGCTGAATCTGCAGTTGCTTGCAATACACAGTGCTTTTCTTAAATGTCCCCGTCCTCTTTGAATCTTTGAACGGATCAATTCAAAAAATCAATACTTGAGGAATGAAATTGATGTGTGGATACCATATTTTAGAGTAAAATTGACAGATGAAAATGTCAAGATGGCCGCTGGGCGCCATCCTGGAAAAAAAATATATTAAAACGGTGGTCATTTTGAAGCTCCTGACGCGTACTTTATAACCCTAGAATATAAAGTCAATACGAGCCCCTTCCCACTTCAGTTGGCCCAACTATTGAAATCTTAGTTTTTTTCTTATCAAACACAATAATAAAAATGTAGCAGTCTGTTAGAGGTTTGAAATATTAACAATGAATATTTTGATAATATACAGGGTATCCGCAAAGTTGGGGTTTTCCTTTACACGACGTGTAGATCTTGAAAACATAAGCAATTTTTCTTAGTACCATATACCCCAATGTCTTAAGGGAACCGAGATAAAGGGCTCTGCAACATCAAAAATATCTGAATACCGTCCTGTAGCCGCGACATCACCGACTGGTACAGGGTCACTGGCTCAACCCGACGACAGAACCGGGTCGAGGTCAGTGTGTCAGGTCAGTATGCAACCTTCAACCGACGGTTGGTTACGGTCACGCGTGTAGAGGTAATCGCGTAGACGAGAATCCCTCAACAAGCACTAGAGACGTGGCTAGAGAAGTGCAAGTATCAAAAACTAAAGTGTGGCAAACGCTGCGTGAAGAGGGGCTGTATCCGTTTCACGTCCAACGTGTACAAGCCCTTCAACCTAACGATTTTCCAGCAAGAATGCGGTTTTGTGAGTGGTTGTTGCATCAACATGACAATAATCCGGACTTTTTGAAGTGCATATTTGTGACAGACGAATCTACTTTCACGCGTAATGGGGTGAATAACTTTCGCAACACTCATGTTTGGTCAGTAGAAAATCCGCACGCTGTCCGTCGGGCACATTTTCAACAAACATTTTCGGTGAATGTTTGGGCTGGCATGGTGAACGGTATGCTCATTGGACCATTTAGTCTCTCAAATCGATTGGACGGGATGCAATACCTAGACTTTTTACGCAACATTTTGCCTTCCTTGTTAGAAGATGTGCCATTAAGTGTAAGACAATCAATGTGGTTTCTGCGTCTGCACGGTAGCCGATCAGCTGATTTCATTTTCTGTTGGAGCGGTATGATTTCGGGCAGAGACGTACTTAGTCCTTCTCGTCAACTGGAGAGTGAGTACTTTTTCCTTTATTTTTTTTTACTTGGTCGGCCTCGTTTCACTACACATTACCTTTGTTATTTCAAGGGTAGTTGTTTCTGAAAAGGAAAACACCAACTTTGCGGACACCCTGTATAGTAGAAAACACCAACTTTATCACTCCCTAATCAAATTTGCAGCATAAAAATAACACAAGTTGCAATTACAGCATATCAACCTATTTTCATTTCAATGCAAAATAAGTCTATAACGCATAGGTTGGCTGTGAAAAATAGAAGCCATGAGTCATCATCTATTATAATACCTAGGTCCTTCGACTGATCCACAGGAACTAATTTATTGCCTTTGAAATATATGTCTATGTCCCTTTTTAAAGTATTCTTTTTTGTTCTATTTGCGTATACCAACATATTTGTCTTCAAAGAGTTCAAATGAAGATTATGACTACTACTGAACCTTTCAATTTGGGCAAGATCTTGATTAATTCTATTATTTGCTGTTTCCAAGTCATTACTTCTAAATGAATAGAAAACTTGCGTATGGTGCATGATTTTACCTCTGCTTCTAATTCAGATATATAAATGAAAATAATAGGGGTCCTAAGACTGATCCTTGTGGTACACCAGCACAAATTTTTTGTTCGGTGGAGTACTGTTGATTTAGACCAGAGTTCCCCAAACTTTTTTGTGTCGTAGACCCCTTGCCATGTTTTTCTGTGTTGGGTAGACCCCCTACTTACCTGATATTGATTTCCTGTAAATTTCTAACTGTAGTGAAGTTTAGTGTTAAAAACTTAAAGTAAAAACACATGTTAATTTATACCATTATTAATTGAATTTAAATTAAAACTACTCGTAATAAAATTTTGTATCTGTTATGTAAAATATACGTAACATTAAATAAACAGGTGTCTGACCAATAAGTGCCCGCATTGGGAATACCTAAGTGCCAGCATTGAAAAAAAATAAGAGGGATAAAATAAAAAAAAAGTGAAAAATAATAAAAAAAAAGTTTTTTTACTTAAAATAGTACAATAAGCGAGTTCGTTTATTAATTATAACATAAACGTATGTTATACAATAATTTCACTGTTAGATTGATTAAATTCCGCTTCTTATACGTTTAAGTTATCTAAAAATAGGCAAAAAATTAACGGATTTTAGTATGTACTTATCCTTGAATTTTCAGAATAATTAAAAAAAAATATTTTCTATAAAGGAGGGTTCTTTGAAAAAATCAATGCGGGCACTTATTCCCAATGCGGGCATTTATTGGTCAGACACCAATAAACATAAAATAAACTATAAATAAAATAACATAAGCAATAAGTCAATATTTTTAGTGAGAAGGATGAACCTGATGCTTTAATAATCAATTATCAACATTTGGCGTCAATTTTGTAAGGGTTTATCTTAAATCTCCTCGGCTAATGATGTCCAGTCTGTTTCTTTTTTTCGTTAGGAGATTGGTAACAGCGCTGAACCCCCTTTCCACTAGGTATGACGATGGAAAGGAAATTAAAAATTTCCTCGCTATATTCCATAATACGGGATAAGTAACGGGTATGTTGGTTTGCAGCCAGAATTGCTGATATCCGTTTTTAGACTGAACCTTAAGTTCTTCGTTTGTACTTAGTTCAGTCAGTTCCTCTTGTATTATGACATTCGTTTCTTCTATGTCACCATATGGATTAATTATCCACGGTGGTATTACCATAGTCAAAATATCCTCAAACCTAGATTCAAAATCTGAATAGAGGGCATTTAAATGTTGAACGTAAGTTGAAACGTCGTCTTCCTGGCAGCTTGTCTGTGACAAATTGGGGAACTGAGAAAATTCGCCCCGTCCAATATTTTGCTTCATTAGTTTAACTTTGGCAAGAAACGCTGATAAGATGGATTTTTGTTTTAATCAAATTTAAACTGTCGCCTTGTAATTGCAAATTAACCATATTAAGTTTTCTTTTAAAATTTTATCTTTAGTATCCAGAAATTCTAAAATAGTCTCAAAAAGTGCAAAAATCTTGTCAAACATAAGCCTTTCGACAGCCAGCGTACTTCAGTGTGAAGGAGTAATTGATGAAAGTGTTCGTCATTTTCTTCACACAACTGCGCAAATAACCGCCTATTCAACGGGTTGCTTCGGATTCGGTTTACTGCATCAATGACTAAATGAAGGGATACATGCAATCTAACACTCAAATTTTTAGCAACTAAATGTTGTCGATGGATGACGCAATGTATTGCTAATACCCCTGACACATTTTGTTTTGAATACCTTATAAATCCATGATAACGTCCAACCATGGCAGGTGCTCCATCTGTAGCTACTGATATTATATTTGATAAAGGAATTGCTTTTTCAATGAAGTACTCCTTCAAAACATGAAATATTGATTCGCCTTTAGTGTCGGTTATCAAAGTTCTTGCGAAGAGCAGTTCTTCGTAGATTTCTTGATTCATATAATAATGCTGCATTATCAGGTAAAGTTGACTCGTCCAGTTGTTTAGAGAAATGGGTCGTTTGCAAATAATTACATAAGAAGCTTTCAATATCAGAACTCATTTCATCAATACGCCTTTCAACAGTATTGTTGCTTAAGGGAATTCTTTTAATGATATCAGATGCAGGTTTGTGTAAAACAGTTTTTAAAACCTTTTCAACGGCTGGCTTCTCTCTGATAGTATGCGGTTTTCCGGATTTTGCTATAAGTAACTAGATATTATAAGACGCCCGCAAACCATCATCATTTCTTTGTGACGTCGAAGCGAACATTCTGTCTAGTGTAGGTCTCTTCTGAAATTTATCTTTGAGTGTTTGAAAGTATTTCAAATCTTTCTCTGTTTTATCAGGGTGGCATCTTCTCAGATGATCTTGCAGTTTAGATGGTTTTATAGCGTCATTGCCCAAAACTTTGTTGCATAAAAGGCGATTGTTTGTCCGGAAATGATAGAATGACGCCAAATTTCAAATGATCAACACTGTACTATCAGTGTATGTGTTGAGATCCACTATCGTGGACCCCCATATTCATTTCATGGACCCCCAAATTTTTTTTCGCTGGTTGTCATAGACCCTAGGGGTCGATATAGACCACTTTGGGAATCAATGATTTAGACGAACTTTTTTATACCGATTTTCAAGGTAGGTTTGAATAAACGAAAGAGGTTTTTCAGATAATCCATAATAACTGCTATTATACACAATTAAAACAAAAGTGGATGCCAATCCAAGATACATTGTTGTAATTGTATATTTTCTACGGTACAGCAGGGTTTTAGACGTGACTGCAACTAGATTAAAGGAAATCGCTAATACGTGTAATTATTCGGTCAAATTTGAGATGGTATTTAAATGGTTGTAGTTATACTTCAGGACTGTTAGACAAGAAAATCAATAATCTGTTAATACAATCGATAAAAATATCACTGATATTCCTTTTAATAGTCAATCTAAAAGCGTAAATAACATTCTAAAAATCAAATATGTCTTTTGGATGTTAAACGATATGTACGAGGGTTGTCCTAAAAATAAGGTTCCCACATTTTTTCAGGCACAAGGAATTTTTATTTGAAAAAACGAATTAATCATTGGAAACGTTGATCTTT